CACTTGACTTCATAGCTCTAGATATGTCTGAAGATGAGAGTTAGGGCAACAATGTGCTGGGACTAGAGCCCTCTGCTGGGGACCTTTGCATGGGGAATAGGAAAAAGACGAAACCTCACTAAAGTCCCTCAGCTCAACGTACAGAGTAGCGGGGACCTGTCTGTCCCCTCATACCTCCAAGAGCCCAGCTAAACGGAGCTGAGGGGAGTGGGGTTGGCATAAGGTACTCACAGCCAAAGAGGGAGAGACCCAAGCACAAAGGGCAGCCAATGGCGCAGCCGAGAAACTTCCCCACTCACTCAGCTCCTTGGCCATCCCTTGCCAGCCTTGGATAGTAGAAAGACAATGTTCAAAGGAACAAGTCAAGTTCCTGCCAAAGCCTGTCTGGCTGAGGTAGACCAAGACTGGACCCTGGAGCCCCTAGCCAAGAAATGTTGAGTGGTGGCCAGCTCTGCCACAGGGGATCAGGGAGTCTGCTGAGGACCCTGCTACCTGCTGCCTGCCCTTCCAGCTGGCTCTGCCAATATTACTTCCTTCCTCAGGCTGAGCTGGTCATACCACACAAATATGAATAAACACAGACTTTCATGTACACACACACACACACACACACACACACACACACACACACACGTCTGAGTTCACTGGGTCAAGAGCATCCAATGAACAACTTCAAGTCCTACTGATGTGGTGGTTAATAGGTATTGATCTACAGTAGGGAAACCAAGGTTTATGGATGTTGTATTGTGTAATATCCAGTGTAAATGCAAAGAATGTTCCAGCTAGGATTCAGACTCAAGCTGGCCAGTCTTTTGGCCCATTCCCCTTCCTGTGTGGGAATGCCGCCTCCTGGCGAGGTTCCCACCTGCCACAGACTGCTTGTTCCAGAACCTTCCCAGCAAGGCTAAGAAGGAAAGTTCCCCTGGCAAGTCCCTTTTCCAGTCACACTTGTTTTCTGGTCTGTGGCCTCACAGCAGGGGACTCAACTGAAGTCCCAGATGCCTCTTCAAGCTCAGCTTTTATGCCTTTGCAGTCTGTGGCCCTATTTTCAAGGCTGTGGGGCTTTAAGAAGTCTGGGCATGCTTTTGAAGGTTAAGCCTGTTCCTGGCTCTGACTACAGACTCTGCCCCTAGTGGGGCTACTACAGGAGAAGCCTCCTCCATACACTTCTGTTGCTATACCTTCCCTCTGTGATGGGCTGAAATCCCTCTGAAACTGTGAGTGGAGCTTAAACTCTCAGCCTTGTTTCTCCCAGGTATTCCGGCTACTGCAATGACAAGAGTCCCTAACAGTTGTCATATTTCTTTCATGTCTGCAAGACTCACATTGCATCTTACTCTTTCTGCTGCTGAAACAGACAGACTCCGGTATCTCCAGCTGCTGTTCCGGTCTCACTCCAGCCTGTAGGCCACAAGACACCCCTCCTTAAGGGTGCAGGGAGGACAGGTTCACGGAGAAGTAGTACCCCAAGACAGTGTCAGGAGCCCAAATGCACTTCAAGTCAGTGCTTCTGTGTTTAGCACCAAAGGGCAAGTTGGGACTGGAGGAAGGCCATATTCCAACCCCAGGATCCTTGGTGTTTTACCAGGCCTCGGTTTTCCCCACCTGGTACCCAGGTGGGTTCTCTGACTGCTTCTGGATGGCCCAGTTCTGCGCCCCAGCATCCTCCAGGCTGACCCCAGGCTGCCCACTCCCATCACTAGTGCTCCCGTCTCTGAGCATCTGCCTTCCCACATCAGTGTTTCTCCGCCAGGCTGTGTTCAATATGTTCTCAAAGCAGAAGGGACAGGCAGGGCCCGGGAGTCCCTGCTGACAAGCAAAACAGATAGGCATCCAGAGAGACGTTGTTGTGACTCGCCTGATGTCACCCAGCCGCTGCAACACCCAGAGTTCAGCTCTGCTTTCATTGCCTTCCAAATGCCTAGTTTCGAATTGTGGATGTGAGGGAGCCATGCCAGGGGCTAAATGACATTCCTGTCCCTTTCACAGGGCTGGGGGAGTCACCAGCTAAATGGGGGGGGTGAGAGGTTAGGGAGGAGAAGAGGCCCTGGGTCTGAAACTCAGCTGTCACCACAAGCATTCAGCGTAGAGTGTCTAATGACTCCAAGCTGTTCTGGAACATTCTCTCTACCCTGGGGAGCTGCTGGGCAGCCTGACTGTTATGCACAGCAGCTGTGTGGGCTGCCTATCGGCAACAAGCCCAGCCATCAGGGACCCCAGTGACTATAGACCCAGGCCATTGTGGGTCAAAGGATGGCAATACTCTTTCTCCTCTTCCAGGTGAAAAGGGGGCAGGACTTCATGACCAGAGGGGCGAGAAGCAGGCTCCCTTTTTCCTCCTTCTCTCCAGGCTGGTAGAAGGTGCTCAGGGTAGGGCTGAGGGGAGCTCAGAACACATCCCCCCATCCCCACTAGGACAGCTTAAAGACCCAGAATGGACTAGCTAGCTTAGGCCATGAGGAGCTGAGTCCCTCGGCACCCTTCCTTCCCTCAGAAACTCAGGTGTTAACCCAAGCACTGCCATTTGTGAGCTGTGTGACCTGGAGTAAATTATTGACATCTCTATGCAAATGCCTTAAGCTTCTGCTGCAAAAGCTTAGTTCCCAAGGTTGCTGTGGGGATTTGGTGAGGGAAAGGCCTAATCCCTCCTTCAAAGTGTTTCTCTTCAGCTTTTTGTTTGTGTTAATCAGACTTTTTGTCACAGTAAGCCCTGGAATATAGAGAGTAGAGCCTATGTAGGACATGTATCATGCATGTGTGTGTATCTATATGTATATGGATTCTGGTGTTCCCTAATTTCAGTCCACAGCTCACAATGCTCACCCACAGGAAACACACTTTGCCCAATGACCTCCGGTTTTCCCTCACTTATCTACCAGTAACTGTTCCCAAAGAAACTTATGTAGGCACCAGGGATGCTGTTCAATAGGTAGACAGTTTGGGGTAGAATGCATGGAGACCTTGGTTTAATCCTCAGCAGTACATAAGCTAGGCGTGGTGGCTCAGGCTTGTAGCAAGAACTTGGGAGGTAGAGGCAGCAAGGTGGGAGTTCAGGGTCATTTTTGGCTTAGATAACGAGTCGAGGACTAGCCTGAGCTACATGAAATACTGTCTCAAAAACAAGGCAAACGGGCCAGGCGCTGGTGGCACACACCTGTAATCCCAGCACTTGGGAGGCAGAGGCAGGCGGATCTCCATGTGTTCGAGGTCAGCCTGGTCTACAGAGCAAATTCCAGGACAGGCTCCAAAGCAATACAGAGAAACCCTGTCTCAAGAAAAAAAGAAAAGAAAAGAAAAAAAAAAAACAAAAACAAGGCAAACAGAAAAAGAAACCCCCATGTAGAAACATTTGGACACATTTTAGGAAAAGGCATTGGGAAGGCAAGTCCTAGCTTCAAAGGAGGAGTAGCCATCCATCCCTGTGTTCCAGGTATAACAGTGAACCCCAGCAGTCCTGGAGGGTCCCAGCAGTGAGAGCTAAGAGAAGGATGACTGCCCAGGAGAGGCAGCAGGAGTCCAAGGGCTTCTTGAAGGAGATAGTCAGGGAGCAGGCCTCAAGGATGGAATGAGATGGATGGTAGGCTAAGCGAGGCTCATGGACATGAGGTCCTCCTTCCAGGTAGGAAGGAGGAGAGAGGGATGTTTGTGGGATCCTGGGAGGCCGGGTCGGGTCACTCAAGGGCTGTGTGACACACTGGTCAGTAAACAGTCTCGCTAAGCTTCACCTCCCGATACACAGTGGCCATCAGATATGCCTGCTTCCCAGGACAAAAGGAGACATGTGGGCAGGAGGCCTGACCTGGAGGCTTCGGGCAGGGTCGGACAGTTGCTGCCCTGGTGAACGTGCAGACCCTAAGTCATCCAGTCTGACTCTTATGACAATAGTGTGAGTTTCAGGCGTGGTGCCACCGCCACTCGATCTGGCCTCTGGAAAGTCACATGGCTTCTGTAAACCTCAGGACCCTGGTCATAAAGTGGGTTTCAAATCTTAGCCCCACCAGTCCCCAAGGAAAGATGGTTTATAAACTGTCAAGTGTCAGTACTTTGAAGAGATTAAGATGGTGGCTATGGAGCCCTTTGTCCCTCTGCAGCAAATAAATCTCCTTTGTGTTGCAGAATAATTATTATTTAACGATGTAAAGGTGTGTTGCTTTTGTTCATGATGTATTTAATTGTGTAAAGATGTGTTACATTTGTTTCACCTTGCCTGCCTAAGGCACAGTTTTGGTCTAATAAAAAGCTGAATGGCCAATAACTAGGCAGAGGAGAGGGATAGGTGGGCTGGCAGGCAGAGAGAAAGGGGAGCTGGCCAGCCAGCAGGGGACCAGCCAGGAGCCAGCCAGACACAGAGGAAGCGGGAAGGCAGGATGGACAGTACATGGATGAGGTAAATGAGTCTCAGGGCAGCACATAGCTTAATAGAAATGGGTTAAGTTTAAAAGGCTAGTTAGAATCAAGCCTAAGCTAAGGCCAAACATTCATAATTAATAACAAGTCCCCATGTCTTTATTTGGGAGCCAGTTGGTAGCCCAAAGAAAATGCCAACTACATTTTTGTGCTGAGAACTTGGTCTTGGGGTGTCCTGGAGTGGTATTGATGTCTTACAGAGGGAAAGGGGTTGCCTCTGGAGATAGGATCGAAGCATTCACCGTCTCTAGTGCGATATTCTGAATGACCTCATCCAGGGTCATGAGAAGAAAGTTCTGGGCTGGAGAGAAGGCTCTTCAGTTAGATCTCGTCCCAAGCAAGCCTGGCCTCGGTTTAATCCCCAGAACCCATGTAAAGGTGGAAGGAGATAACCAAGTCCACAAAGCTGTCCTCAGACCTCCACATGTGTGTCATGACAAAACGACGGATTATTGTTATCACTTTTGTCAGGGTCTCACTATGTCGCTCTGGTTGCCCTGGAACTCACTCTGTATATATACCAGGCTGTCCCTGAACTCGGGGATCTACTTACCTTACTTCGTAAGTGTTAGGATTAAAGGCATGCACCACTATTCCCAACTTAAAACAATTGTTTATTATTTTTTTAAAGGAGTCAGTTTCCATGTCTCTTACTGCAGGCATCGGAAGAAAAGCCTTGGGATACCTCTGTGTTTGATGGATCACTGTCAGGTCCATTTCCCTAGATTATGTTTTAAAAAGACAGAATGTATGAGGAAGGAGCTCACATAGTCCATGGGTTGCTGGAGCCATGATTTAAACCCACAGTCACTGCTTTGTCCCACCGTGGTCAAAGTCTGTTGATGCCACCCCTGAGCTATACACACCCAGCTCATCTGTCCCTACATGGCTCATTTCCAGTTTAGCAAATCTCTCTGGGAGGATGGGTCCCTATCAACTTGGGACCCCCCACCAGGACACCCCCAGGGGGGCCCCCAATAAGGAAAACTGATAATTGGGCTCCGCTTTTTTGAGGTTGCAGTCAATTCAGAGAGCAATTTGGCCAAAGCCGGCAACATTTTAAAATCTCCTTGACACAGCCTCACCCCTCCTCAGTCCCCCACAGGCACAGTCTATAACTTACGAGCGTACAGATGTTCACAGCAGCAACCGATGGGCATGACAGCTCACACAGATGTTCCCTGGGGGCGTGGTTCTGTAAGCCCTCCCGTATGCACGGGTGGCTGGAGGTACCGTTAAAGCGAATGAGGCGCTTCCGAGAACTGATGTGGGAAGGTCTCCAGGACATATGGTAAGCAGGGAAATACAAGCTGCAGAGCACTTTGTGAGGTATGTCCACGGACTGCCTAAAACAAAACCGATGACACACACGTGTAAATAAAACAGCAAGAAAAATAGGCCCCTAAGATGCATGCGTGCACTGTTGTAAACATGGTTACCCAAAAGAAAGATGAGGATTCCGGGCATGGGTTTTGGAGCGGACTCTTCCCTGGTCACCGCACATATGTGCTTCTGGGAGTTTTTATATTTATTTAGTGGGGATGGGAACATACAGGGGTCAGAGAATGACTTTCAGGAGTCAGGTTTTTTTCTTTTTTCACCTTTTGGATACAGGGACTGAACCGAGGTCATTGGGCTTAAAGGCAAGTGTCTTTAACCCTTGAGCCACCCGGCCTGCTTGGGGTACAATCTCCTGCTTCTGTGGAGCTGTATATTCCAGGCTAGCTAGCTTCTTTGGATTTTTCCTTCTCTGCCTCCTTTCTGGTCTTAGAGGTCCACCATGGCATTCAGCTTTAAAGAAAAAACAAAAAACAAAAATGGAGTCAGGATCTCGGTCTTGGCAGCAGGGGCCCTTACCAGCTGAGCCGTCTTGCTATTGCTTGCTCTTCCTTCTCTAACAAAGATGTGTTTGTGGATCACTTGGGCAGGCAGCAGAGAACTTGGACCTTTCAGGCCGCCAGGACAGTGAGTGGTATCTGAAGAGACGTCCAGCCACCAGCCTGAACCCTTTCCAGACCAGATGCTGTGCCCCAGAGTAGCTACCTGGTGTCTCTGAAGAACCCTCCTGCCTGACTCTGGATCTCCTGGACACCAGTGTGGCTTGTCTAAATGAGTCCCTTGAAGAGCCGAGGCCCATCTGCCAGATGAGGCAACCCAAAGTCACAACACAGTCACAGGGAGCAACGGGGCAGGGCTGGGAAGATCTGGAAGGATATAGAACCTCATAGAGAAGAAAGGAAGCTGGTCTCAGTGAGCTAGGGAGATGGAGAAAGTGACAGTCAGCCATGTAAAGATGTCTGGGAAGAGAACCATCCACTTCCACTGTGACCTGGGAGTCCAATGGCCAGGTCAGCCCTTTCTACTCTCTACAGTCTCATGGAGGCACTGAACACCAAGCCCGTCAGCCAAGGAGCAGCTGGGTCACAACTGACTGCAAGGTGAAGAGACTTGACAATGGCCTCAAGTCTCCCACAACCTCAGACATCTTTCTTCTTCTAGAACAATACCTTCACTTCCGGGATCAGACACCCAGCTCCCTCTCTTGCTCCCTTAAAGCTGGATGTTTCTGAACTGAAAACTCGTGTTGAGACATACTCAGAAATATATCCAGTCTCTAGTGGGGCCTGGGGTAGCGCCCTGTAGTCCTACTGAGTGTTGAAAAGCCTCTTCGGGAGGCGCAGGAACAAGGATGAATCAATATGATGGGCGGCTGTGTCTCCTGTTGGTTCTGACAAATGAACGACACAATCTCACTTCTCCCAGCTTTGGGGGGATTATAGAAATACGAGTTTGAGGTTGTGGGTCTGCTTAGTTAAATCCCTCAGATACTCAGATTATTTTTCATACCCCCCTCTCCAGAGTTACCCCTAGCTGCGCTCAAACTCTGAAAAGGAGGTTATTTTTGTCACCTGCTTTCTAGATGCAGAAATATTTGCTCAGAGAAGCAATGCATCTTCCCCGAAGTCACACAGCTGGCAGTATCAGCGTCCAGACAGGGACCCAGAACCCGGAGTTTACCTTAAAGGAAGCAAGGCTGGAGGAGCAGAGGAACTAGTCTGTCAGCCACATAAGGTGCCCCCGAGCAGCCAGGGTAAACTCCTTGGCCCAAGCCCAGCAGCCATTAGGCATGTGTGTGCTGCTCATGACTGCGCCATGGGAACTATTCACTACACACGTAGCACCAGACTCCTGGCCTCCAAGTCTCCCTGTCCGCCCGCCAGTTTCTCAGGGTGACGGTAATGAAGCTGTAACGGGCGAGTTTTCACTATGCCCATGTGTTCTCGCTTCAGCCATTCAAGCCAGACAGTTTCTGGCATCTGGGTCCAATTGCAGGCGGATGGGGTGGGGGTGCTGGCGGTGATGGAGGGGGGGGATGACAGTGAGAGCGAGGCCTGGGCTTCCCAGTCCTGACATGAATGTGCCCCTGAGCTAGGGCGTGCCCTCTCCCTTTCCAGTCACTGAAGTCAAGACTAGGAGGAAGCTGGTTGGGCACCAGGCCAGCCAGACGAAGTGGATAACTGGGTGGCAGCCATGATTATAGGTGTGGAGGAAGCCAGGCAGAACCTGGTGGTCTGTGTGGGGCCGTATCCTGGAGTGAGGTGACTGTCGGTGGAGGCAGTTGGGTCCTGGCCTGCAGCCCCCTAGATTGGCAGAATACTCTCGGGGATGAGTGAGTTCTACTTGGGAGTCTATAGGCCGCAGTTGAGTTGTGTTTGGGTCTCTCTAGGGACTGGGCAGGGGGGCTCAGCTCACCTACACTTCCTCTAGGGAAGCCCAGGAAACTGGGAGTTTGGGCTAAAGGCCCCGGACTTGTCCCGAAGGGCAGATGAACCTGTGCCCTGTCCATGCCTCTTCCCTGCTCCAGGAACCACCACAGTTATTGGTTCTTTCACTGAGCCCGGCTCTGTCTGCCTTGCTTTACAGTGCTGGGCAGGTAGTCCTGGGCCAAGGTCCTCATGAATCCATGAGCATGTCTACACCTCAGAGTATCCTCTCAGGGACACCAACATGCACCCCGACAGTTAGCAAGCAGATGGCAAGGTGACTGTGAGTACTGTCCCATCATACAGACCTGAGTCACATGGCTGCCAAGTGACCTCTGAAGTCCGTCAACTCCCTGGACCCGAGTCTCAAACAAGTGGCAGTCAGGCCCACTCACAAGCCTGTGTTAAATGGCTGTCAGAGCCGCTACCACAGCAGCCTTAAGTTGAGAGCCCCTGAAATCATCAGGATACCTCCTGCCCACCCTCATCCCGTTGACGGCTTCAGAGACTAGACAGGGGAGGCAGACCTGAGGCATACAGCAAGCCTCAGGCATTCCTCCTCCACTAGTCTGACCATGCTTCCTCTGCTCATGCCCTGGCTCAAGTCCATCTATCACAGGCTCGGTTCCCCCAGACAGCCTTCAAACCTCTGGAGACCCACCACTAAATAAAAGCAAAGGAACTTAGAAGTCACCCTGAAAAAGTGGTACTTGCCTTGAAAAGAATGTAGACATGTGTAGAGACCAATTCAATTATTCTGCCCATGCAAAGCAGAAATTCAAGGGTTGGGGATACGGTTCCATTGGTTGAGTGCTTGCCTAACACACGGGAAGTCCTGGGTTCCATCCACAGAACTCCATGAACTGGGTGAGGTTGCACATACCTGTAATTCTAGCACTTGGGGGCAGAGATGGGAAGGATCAAGAGTTCAAGATCATCCTTGACTACATAGGGAGTTTGGGATCAGTTTGGACCACACAAACTCTATCTCAAAAAAAATTATAAATCCTAGAAGAAGGCCAGTTCCATGGAGAATGAACTCATGAGGTTTACTTTATGTTCTTAGGTTTCGGAAAGCCTTTCATCAGCCTATGCCAGCTTTGTAAGACGGATGCATAGATGGCTAGGTAAGGAGGCGGATGGACATGGGTGGAGGAATAATGGGTAGAGGTGAGTAGATAGATAACTATATAGACTCATGGGTAGACCCATGAATGAACAGGGGACAGTTGTAGATGGGTATGTAGGTGGGGTCAGTTCATTCTGTCCTTATAGCACGTGCCTGGAGATGAGCAACTTATAACGAAAAATGGTTCCTTTGGCTTCTGGTTATGGAGGTTGCAAGCCAAGAGCAGCTGGCCCTTTGCTTTTTAGGCTTATGGAAGGGGCTTTGGCAGAGCAAAACCACTCATCCCATGGTCCCCTTCAAGGGTTCCACCACCCCCTTCAAGGGCATGCCTCTCCGGACCTGATGGCCCCATGAGGCCCCACCATGTATAGGGCTCAATGGCCCAGTGGTTGGAGACCAAGACTTTCATTCAAGAGAGCCCCATCTAGCTCATTTGAACCCATGAGAGGTCCAAAGGTTTCGTAGAGGATGCCCCTATCTGAGCTGTGGGAGGCTCCCACCAACCTAGAGCATCCTAGAGCAGGAAGCATAAAGCACACAGCAGACATCAGAAGTGGATGCAAGCACACATGACAGAGGGTTCGCAGCATCCACAGGACACAGGAGCTCTGCTCATGCTCTATCTAGGCAGCCTCCCACCCTCCCTTTACATCTGACCCTTTACAGCCAGCTGTGGTGCACAACTGTAATCCCAGCACTGGGGAGGCAGAGGCAGGAGGACCAGCAGTTTAAGGTCCTGCTCAGCTACTATTCAGTAGAGACCAGCCTGGGCTACATGAGATCCTGACAACCTAACCCCCCCCTCAAAAAAAACCCTTCAAATTTAAATCCAGGGTTCTCTGGGCCACTTCCCAGGTGCTGTGGGTGTCCATCCCCCCTCAAAACTTCCTCCTCAAGTCCTCTTCCTCTCTCTCCATTTCTGGACCTGTCTTGTCATTCCCTCCATCCCCAGAGTCTCAGATCCGCTCCTTTCTCTAGAAGCTTCCAGCTCTGCTGGAGTCTCCCTAAGAACTCCCAAAACTGGCTCGTTTATTAGTTACTTCTGTGTTTAGTTGCCCCAAACCCAGAACTACTTACCTTTATTTTGGAGTGTCACTTAATCCCACTTCCTGGCTTTCTGGGGAAACAGGCCTATCCATCTCCCCCAACACCTCTCCCGAGCCCACTCTTGCATTAAGTGGAGGCCCCAGAACGCCTCTGAATGGATGCATCATTTGGGGGGAAATCTTTGCAGCCTACATAGGAGGCCAATATTCCAAAGTGTGGGGAAAAAACTCATTTCCAACTTTACACTGCCCCACTACCTCAGGCTGAAGCACCCACCGAAACACAGGAACCAGAGCCAAGGGGACAGCCGGGTCCGGATACACTCCCACCTCTGCCTGCTGGAAGGAGAGAAGGCGAGGGAAATTGGGGGTGACAGAACTAGGTGGGGGGTGGGGTGCAAGAGAAACAGAGACGTGCAGCGGGCCAAGCTTTGAAGTAGCAAAAACCGCAGTCAAAGCTTCTATCTTTCTTCTGCTCTCCAGGGTAGGCCATTCTCGAATGCAGCCCCCCCCCCCACACACACACACTGTGAGTCCTGGAGGGATGTCCTCTGAGCTGGGTCTGCTATGTGCCAGAAGATTCTTTTCCAACAGCCCCGGCTTCCTGATCCAGTCATCTTGTTTATAGACGCGTACACACCCGCACTGCCAAAATAGAAACACAAGGAATAGAACTGTTTAAATTTTATTATTCTCTTCGATTCTGGTCCTAAATAAAACCATCTAGAGAGACACCTTTTAGAACATTTCATGGGATCCTTCCTCTGGCTCCTCACAGCAGAAGCAGCTTCCATGAATGCTCACTTTCGGTGTGTATCTCCCCTGGTCCCTCAGAGAACACAGCCTGCCTGTTA